ATCGCCACCTTACGGCCATATATTCTCCAGCTGCACGAGGCAATGGAGAACGGCAAACCAGAGTCCAAGTCTCGCTGGAGTGCCCTCCAGAACACACTTTCGGATTCTGTCGCCGGTCCCGCGGCTGTGAAGATCATGTCGCGGGTTCGTCTGGTGGTTGACGATACCCTCAAGCTTGATTATAAGGCTTATGTTTCGAAGGCCGAGCGCAAGGCCCTTGACGCCGACTCGAAGATGCTGAAAAAGTATTCCGACAAGGATGTCATTGCGGCTTTCAAGAGAAAGAAGGTATACCCGACGATTGAGCAGAAGGAGGAGGCGCGGGAACGCATCAAGAAGTTCCAGTGGGAGGCTCGCAATTCTCGGAACCTAGAAGGTTCGGATCGGAACGAGGAGTCTTCCTCGTGAGAAGCACATATTGAAGCTTAATCATATTCGTGGTCTTTGGCACGACGAGACCGAGTGAGGTCTTGATTGTATTATGTTTGTATATCACACATTGGGGGTTATAGATGGCGTTTTATATTTGCATTATGTACATAATACCATTTGGTACATTCTCTACTTCCAACATGAAACATTAATTAAGATTCTAAAAGGGTTTGGTGTTGCTGTCAGCTTGTAAGATTTCTACGTATACTTATTCTTCGATCTGTCCTCAATGGCGTGTCACCAGTCTCCTAATAGGAGAGAAATGCAAAGCAATTGGATGATATTATCTAGCCAATAATACTGTACATACTATACTACTAATGGACCTTTTTGCTGGAAAACTGCCGAGCTGTTCTAAATGCTCCGCTATACCAACCGCCAAGTGATAAGACATTCGAACCTCATTATTACTATCCTGTCATTTCCAAGGTTCTATCCTCCATTTTAGATAATAAATATCAATTCAAAGGAGTATAGTATGTAATAACCCGCGAAATCGGGTTCTTGAAGAGGTAATTGTCACGCAATCTGACAGCCGATGATGAAATCCATCCCTATAACAGACTAGAAAATGGTCCGATAGATTGTCGTGGGCTTATGCTGGCCTTAGCGTTCGGAGGTTAAATATATCCACAAGGTAATTCTGTGATTACTGTGGTGATGATGGCGAATGTTTGATCTACGGCACGCCATATGCAGTTCTAAGAATTCACCCGACAGGGCTCGGAAATTTGCCGTTCCCCTCTTTCGCATTGTTGATGGCGCGAGATACGTATACGATAGACGAATTTCGAGGTGGGACGGTGCGGGGGTAGTACACTTGGGCAAAGCCATCTTTCCGGTCTTTGTTGATTTGGGACATAAGGGGGTTGTGTCACTCTTATAGACCATCTCCAGATCTGTTTCGCACTTGGTCGAGTAAGGCTCGAAAGAAATAATCTTTTATCTTGAAAACTGCGAATCATGGGAGACACTGCAGCTACTAGCCAACATGGTTCCGCCGGCGCTGGCAAGAAACACATCTTGCTTAATGCTTTTGATATGTCAACGGTGGGACATCTGTCCCCCGGACAATGGAAGGTTAGTGGTATAAGAATTGAACTTGAAGGGCCAGAAGGCTGACAGCTGCGTAGAACCCCAAAGACAAGTCTGCGACTAAGCGAACACTCGGATACTGGATAGAGTTGGCGAAGCTGTTGGAGCGTGGTGGAATCAACGCATTGTTCCTGGCAGATACAACTGGAGGTCATGATACCTATGAGGGAAAACTTGACGAGTGTATTCGACGTGCAGCGCAATGGCCGGTGACAGACCCAACTATCGTGAGTGTTATTAACGCGAATTTTCCGATCAGAGTCTGACTTTCTGATTAGCCCATTTCGGCAATGGCTGCAGTGACAAAGAATCTGGCCTTTGGCATCACGGCGTCGACTTCATTTGAGCAGCCCTTTTTGCTTGCTAAGCGCTTTTCAACTTTGGACCATTTGACCAATGGCCGACTGGGTTGGAACATTGTGACCTCATATAAGAAAGCGGCTTTCAAAGCCATTGGCGTGGATACTCCCATTGAGCATGACGAACGCTACCGCCAGGCAGATGAGTATTTGAAGGTGCTCTATAAGTGAGTTGCATTCCCATAGTTCGACTAGGGTGATGTTTTCAAAGACTGACTCGGCGGTTGTTGCGTATAGATTGTGGGAGGGTTCCTGGGCTCCTAATGCCCTGTCGCCCAACCCCGAAGCAGACACGTACATAGACCCCGAGAAAGTACGCCAGATCAACCACAAGGGCAAGTACTTCTCATTGAGCACACGACACATTGTCGACCCGTCTCCGCAGCGGACACCATTCCTTTTCCAGGCAGGAACTTCGCCTGCAGGATCGGAATTTGCTTCGACACACGCTGAGGCAATCTTTGTCTCTTCCCATTCGCCAGAGGTGTTGAAGCCGAAGATCGCAAATATCCGCAAGCTAGCCGCAGAAAAAGGCCGCGACCCACAGTCAATCAAGTTCTTTGGTACCTTCACGCCCATTGTAGGCAATACCGACGAAGAGGCGTGGGAGAAGTATGAGGAACTGAAAAAATACGCCTCGGTGATTGGAGGACTGGTTCTTTTCAGCGGATGGACGGGCATTGATATTTCCAAAATCCCATTGGATCAAGAAATCACGGCTTCAGACTCGTTGGAGGCAAACAAAGTCACTAGCTTGCTTGACTCATTAACCACGACTAGCAAGGAAATCCCGCGCTGGACGCCTCGCGTGGTTGCTGAGAGGGCTGCAATCGGTGGTCTTGGCCCGGTGGCTATTGGAAGCCCTGCCACTGTTGCGGATGAGATGGAGCGTTGGATCCAAGAGGCTGATCTCGATGGGTTCAATCTTGCCTATGTTACCACGCCTGGCACTTTTGAGGAGGTGGTTGATCTACTCATCCCCGAGCTGAGACGACGCGGTCTTTATCCTGAGCTCCCAGACCCATCAGAGGCACCTCTCACAGCCCGTGAGAAGGTCTTTGGCAAGGGACAGAAAGAGCTCAGGGCTGATCATATTGGAAGCAAGTACAAGTACGATGTGTACCAGGAGGAGGAGCCTTATGTTGAGGGTACCGAAGAAAAATGATCAAATTAATGGCATCTGACGATAATCCAATTTATGAAGATAGAAGACAATTGAAATGATCCAGAATCAAGAAGCCCATAATATGCACATGCAAGAGGTGCGTAGAAATGAAAGGTGAAACAGAACGTGCCTGGTAACAGTACCCGTGACCCAGTACGTAATGCCACTCTAGCCTTTCCGGGACAGCTTTGGCCAAGTCGACCTTCATACTCCTCAATTACCTTGGCATTTCCTGTCAACTTCACCTCTGAGAGGACTAAAACTTAAAGGAGGTGTCATTCTTGCGCTAGTCTTTCGACCGTCACGACTATACCACGCAAACCATGGCTACCATACACCACGGCCACCCCCATGATGAACCCCATGATGACGACTCTCTCCTTGGCGATGATTTGATCGAAGCCGATGATGGTGAGTACTTTTATTTGCCCCTCTGGATTACTGGCGTATCAACAAGATCTTAATTCGATGTGATTCTAGCCGTCGAAGCTGACGACCCCCTGCGCGACACCGACACGGCCCCTCTGCGAGGCAACATCGAATCCAGCTCTGGCAACCGCAGCAATGCATCTGGCTACGGCAACTACTTAGCATCCTCTATGGGTGGCGAGGATCGCCGTGCGACGCAAAATACTATCGACGAGAGTGTTTGGGAGACATTGTCACGCGACTTGATTGCCGTCTGGGAGAAGATGCGCCAGGTGCTTTGGCCGAAATACTTGCTTGGAGGAATGATGCAGCGCGGAGGCAGTGGTACCGCTGATTCTGAGCAAGGTGGAGTGTCTGGATTTGGTGGTAACATTCGAGGACTCGTTGGACGCTGGCCGGATGCCGACGTGGTCCTGCAGGGTGGCATGAGCGATGGGTTGCGGGACTGGGATCTCTGGTAAGCCACTCTACACACGAAAAATCTGTATAAAAGCTAACACGGGTTTTACTCTAGGGGACCGCTTATCTTCTGCCTGGTCCTGAGTTTGTTCTTGTCTGTCGCAAAGGGTGATCAATCGTCGGTGGTTTTCTCTGGTGTCTTTTGTCTTGTCTGGATCGGAGAAGCAGCTGTGACTCTTCAGATCAAACTCCTTGGTGGCAAGATGTAAGTGTTAAATGAATGATCCCCGCAATATCGCAGTTTACTCACATTCCGGCGCGTTAGTTCTTTCTTCCAGTCGATTTGCATTATCGGTTATACGCTATTCCCGTTGGTCATTGCCGCAATGCTGAGTGCGCTGGGACTTCCTACTATCGCACGGATACCAGTGTATCTTGTGTTAGTCGCATGGTCTTTAGCAGCTGGAGTAAGCATCCTGGGAGGCTCTGGAGTGGTACGGAACCGAGTCGGAATCGCAGTGTACCCGCTGTTTGTGTTCTACATTGCGATCGGGTGTCTCTGCTTCATCAGTTAAGGCTCTCTATTGTGATATTGTGCTGAATAGTTGAGAAAGTGCGCCGTCACATGCCTCTGATAGGCATCGGCGCAATGAGTCTCAATAACAACATTGGATTGATTGTATTAGAATAGCGCGGATACCGGTATATCCAGGCATTGAATTGAATTTATGCAAATTGTATTTGCCGAGGTACCCTAGGCAACAATAGACGATTGTTATTCTTTAGATGAATATGCTTTGTTCCCATTTTCCCCTTGACGCTTTTGCTATTCAGAGCACCCCGTTTGTTGGGCCCCGCACCCGGCGGTCAACTTATAAGAACCGGCAAGCTATCTTTTCCTTCTTCTCTCACCTTTTCACCCTTCCATCCTCTTGTTCTTCTCTTCGCAAAGTTGGCAAAGTTCAAATCCTCCATTCTTCGTCGATTCGGCTGGTCCCAATCGATCTCATCTGTTTATCCGCGGTTATCGTTACCTGTTGGAAGCTCCGCTCTACTCAATCTCGACTGGGTAACTAGAACGCCCAATATCTTTGACAAGTTTGTCCTTCGGACGTGACGCCATGGCTTCCGCTTCCCGTGAGCAGAACTCCTCGGCAGGCGGTATGTCATCATTGCTTGGGCGCATAGTTTCAAATCCCCCACATAGTTGGGCAGTTTCGCTGACAACTTCAAAGCTCTGGAAACAGAGCAACTGAAAATGGACCACAGAGGTGCGCTTTGATCTAGTGATTCGATTTTGTTTTGCCCTACAGCTTTCCTTTATATCTACAATCCCCTTTCTGCTACATGGCTTTCTCCAACGTTCATGTGATCTGACAATATCGTCTTGACAGTAACCGCGCAGTCGCCTCCCTCCGACAACGACAGTGGTGAACGCCCCGTGCGACAACAGCTCAAGGAGACCAACCTTGACTCTGTGGGTGAAAAAGACGGTTCTGCCCGTGCAAACCGAAAGCGCTCTTTCGACAACGCAGATGGGGCCACCGATACACCCCCAACCAAGCGATCCCGAGAGTCCACCCCGGACAACACCACGGAAGACAACTCCAATCACGCTGGAATCCCGAAAGATGCCACTACCCAAGATGTGAGTGACGACGTGCTGCCCACAGCACCTGCGAACATTTCAGTTCACAATACACCTCTGTCCTACAACCCGATAATGAGCCACATCCCCGAGACCACCAAGGTCCAGTTTCCCTTGGACCTTGAGATCAAGGTCTCAATTGGTGGATCCGAGCAAATTAGCCATTTGACCATTCCTGTTGAGGTTGGTATCAAGGTGACAGCCGGAGTGGTCTCCTTTGCTTCCCCGACTTCGAGATCGGCTGAACGCGAATCCTCCAAAATTCATATTACCATTCCTTCTGCAAAGCCTATTCCTCCATCTGGACAATTTTCCCCTGGACACCCTTCTCCTGGACACCCTTCCCCTGGACACCCTTCCCCTGGGCACCCTTCCCCTGGGCAACCTTCATCTGAGCACCCTTCATCTGAGCACCCTTCATCTGAGCACCCTTCATCCGAGCATCCTTCTCTTGGGGAGCCTTCCCAGAGGCACCGTTCACCTGAATCATACATATATGATGACCCTTCATTCCACATTTATGAAGAGCCTGAATCAATTGGAGATTCTTCATCTGAAGACTCTCTACCTGACTACCGTTCACCTGAATACCCGTCCTCCCCACCTCCTGTCCCATACAGTCCAACGAATCCCAATTACCCTAAACCCATGGTTGAAATCATTGATTCTAACTATTCTCAATCCCCACAGAGTCTTGAAACGACCGCCGGCGGAAACGAGGATGAGTCTTCACAAACCCTCAAGAAGAAACGGAGCCGAGAACAACTTGAGGATGATGCCTCGAAGAATTCCCACACTGCAACTGACCCCGCACCCGGCTTGACTGAGACAACTTCGGACGAACAATCTACTGCCGAAGGACAACCGGAGAAGAAGAGACCCCGCGACAATTCGGAGGAGCGCAAGGCTAAGGTGGACCAGGTGAGTTTGCTCCCTCAATTTACCCAGCTTTTCTTTTTCCATCTTCCACTAACACTTGCTTCTAGACTTTCACCGCGAGTGCATTCGGAAAGGCCTCTGCTGCACCTTCACCTTTCGCAATGCCTGCAACTAAATTGACCGCTGACGCTTCGCCTTTTGCAACTAGCGGTGCCTCGACTACTGGTTTCGGTGCCCTCGGATCCGGCTTCTCTGCCTTTGGTAGCGCTTTCCCTGCCACCTCTGGTAAACTCACCAGCTTCGCGTCTCCCAATGCCCCCACTGCTTTCTCTGGAACAGCCGGCAAACTGACCAGTTTTGCATCTGCCAACGCCCCCACCAGTTTCTCTGGAACAGCTGGTAAACTGACCAGTTTTGCATCCCCCAATGTCCCCGTTTCCTTTGGCGAGTCTAGCGACAAGACCCTCGGTGCAAAGCAATCCGACAATGAGGAAAGTGACAACGAGCCAGTCGGTGAACCCGATGACACCTTTGTTGCCGAGAAGACCGACGAGCGTTTCCACGCACAAACTGGTATGGACCCCTTCTTGCCTTTCCCCAGGATCCCGAATATGGCCCGTGACTCATTCCGACGTGAACCCCCAGTTGAAACCGGCGAAGAAAACGAGAACACTGAGTTCGCAGCCAAGGGCAAGTTGTACTACTTCGACGACAAAAAATGGAAGGAGCGTGGTACCGGCACCTTCAAGCTCAACCTCAAGACGGAGTCCAATGGAAAGAAATCTGGTCGCATTATCATGCGCGCCGATGGTGCCTTGCGTGTCATGTTGAACAGTGCGGTTTGGCATACCATGCCCTTTGGTGATGTCAAGGGTTCTCGCCCGACCACTCGGGATATCTATCTCGCCAGCAACGAAGACGGAAGGGTCGTGAGCCTTCTTCTCCGGGTAAGTCTCCAAATTCTTCTCATTTCTTCTCTCGTGATACTAACATTGAATGATACAATGCAGCTCGGTAATGAGAAGCAGGCCGGTGAATTGTTTGATGTACTAAAGGATATTATGGAGAAAATTTGAGTTGATCAGTCAGTCATGAAGATAGTCTTGTAAATAAAGAAAAACCAGAAAGAAAAAAAAAAAAGAGAAACACTATTCTCATGGAAAAGGCTCAGAGTTGTTATCATTACAGTTCATTAGCGATCTTTTAATACAATTGTGTGCATATTCCAATGTATCTTCTTCCCTCTAGACTTGGCACATTTCTTAGCATCTCACCTATAGAACCAAGGATCTGTCAAAAGCTATTTGAATTGTCGTATCTCGCAAGTGATATGATTTATATCTTTAGAATGATATTGTTTCGCTAATAAACAGTATTCTCCTTCCCACCTAGCCCTACTCATTCATACTCAAGTCTCTAAGGTGGTAATTGTTGATCAGCTATCGTGGTGCGAGAGCATGGATCCGTCCCCTATAAAAGTCTTACACCAATTTTCGTGATAGGTCTTTGAGATGTTAGACGAAGCAACCAATCGACGTATCTAATGTTACAAGCGCAGTAAATTCTTTTTCTCCTCTTCAAAGCCGCCAGACCTCCGAGGCGCCTAAGGCCTCTGAGGCGCCCAAGGCCCCCGGCATTTTCCCGGAATTTGACCGTGCAGTCAGACAGTGAATTCATCCGTTAAACGGATTTTTCGGCCACCACTGACCTATAAAATTTGGTAGCACCCTTTCCCTCTCCTTGCGTAGTCATGGTTTGCCTGATTGCGGCACGCCTAGTCGTGGCACGGCTAACTGCGACACATGAATGGCAGAGGCTATTCGCTGCTTAAACGAGCTCAGGACGAATGTCTTAGAATACAAAATTTCGACCCGGCTTCCGGTTGGGGCATATACCCCTATGAGGGTCGGTTAGCTCGAGATAATAGGTCAAGATTTATGTTTGCTTCTGAAGTAACTTGCGAATTTTGAATAAGCAAACTGGCTAAGCCTAGTATTAGGCTGACGCAGATGGCCTATCAAGTCATTATACTCCACAATGTTGGGTATAAATAGGGGAGTATATCCGACTGCTGAGATTCACTATCGACAGTTGACAACTTAACAGTCGGACATCTTTCAAGTTCTTCAAAGACTTTCTGTTTCAAATATGCAGCTTCCTCGCCTCATGATCCGGGCTGTGGCTTTGCCTACGGCAGCGTTTGCCCTTGGCATCAACTGTAGGGGAAGCTCCCAATGCATGCTTGTTTCAACATCCGATGCTAGTGAAGCGATTCAGGGTTATATACAAGCTGCCATTGATACCGGTAGCGGTGGGAACTTTTATCATGAGGGCAGTACGTTTCCAGATTCAGGTCCCAACCTTTTCGCTTCGAAACACATTTTGAACTTCGCTTATCTGCTTTCTAATTAAGAACAAATTGGATGCAAAGACAGCATTTGCGCATTCTACCAGAGCGGTGCAAGCGGTGATCTTAACGACGCTATTACGCATATCAATAATATTGTGAACCATGGCTGTGGGAATTGTGGAAGTGACCCGACCCAGCCAGGAAATGATGTTAGCAAAGGGGAGCTTACGGTCAATTATGTCAGCTCCCCAACTTGTACCAATGGTCTTTGTGATCCTGCTTAAGACGCCTTGTTTACAAGCTAGTGGGTAGCAAATTTGGACCGGCTAGTGAGGAGATTTCCATTGGGAATAGTGTCTGAGTCAGATGAATTATTCGATGCTCTATCAAAACCTACTGTGACCACCAAATGGACTAGCTGAATGGGGGTTGAAGTTACCCGGTCAACCCCTAAACATATAGTCTCTCTTCTTCCCCCCTCTAGTCTTGATACTTTCGTTGAATTGCTCCCCTTTGGAATGCCATTACTCCGAATCTACCCTATAATGTAGACGCTAAGAACTTCTACTCATGAACATTGAAAAAATCAAATTTAAGATCATTTGCGTTATAGAATGTTTAATCTTGAGAATCTACTAAGATGACAGCGCTAAAAAGAGTAAGAGTGGCGATGAAAATGGACACCCCAAATGTGTAACTCCCGGCCGTCAACCTAATGCGCACATTTTGTCCGGCCGCAGTACCGGCCGCTGTCACGACTAGGGAAAGTAAGATAGAAAGCCCAATAGCCATGAGTAGACGAGGAGTATTCCAGCTGCCAACAAGCATGAGCGCAGGAATGCTCTTTCCAGGAAACAGCACGTTTGCAAGTATCTAACAAATGTTGAGTTTTCTGTACTTCACAGGAAGTGGTAATGATATACTAACGTCCGGCTCATAGCCGTTGTCGTTCATTATTATATTCGGACACAAACCCCCATTCGAACAACGCTGAAACGTCCCATCTTCATTGAATCCAGCGCCACAATTTGTTGGGTTGAGACACAGCTCTTCTATCGCTCTTTTTATATCTGCCACCTTTGAGGCATAATTGATGGGAAGCACCATAACTTCGATTTCGCTGTTTCGTTGTGTTCGTAGGACATAGAACTTAGTTCCATGACCATTCCAACAGAAATCGACTTACCCTCACTTCCTGAATTCTCACGGCAGAGCGCAAAGAGATACGCTTTTACCATCCGCAATGATTTTTTAGGCGATTCGATGTTCGAGGATCCTGAATATTATTCACCAAATATATTTCTAAGAAGGAGATGAACCAAGCAGAAAGAGTTCGCACAGGTGATAATTAGCTTCGGCCCGAGCAAAGTTCAATGTAGTTTCTTGTTTGTACAGGGTCCGTGAAAGGAGGCATTTCCATTGGCACTTCGCAAACCTCCGATCGTCCTGCTTGGACTTTTTTGTTATTCTTAAATGCTTCCACTTCATGTTTCTGCTGGACAGTTCTGTGCTCATATACACGTTGTTTTAATCTTTACCCCCTGAGGCGTGAATCAATATCGCCTTGAATAAGCCCTGGTGTACATGCAAGCGATTAATAGCGCAAGGCGCTACGTCACCTAGTTTCATCGACATTCTCCACCACATTGTAAGCCGTACCAAGGCTCGCTGAGTCCAAGTCAGCTCAACACCTCAAGCCTTTTTTTCCATGCAAAGCTTTCCATCACAAGCTTCAAAGGAGCTCGTTATCATGGGGGTATGTTCCTTTTGAATCTGTGGTATGAGGAGGTTTGGATCGGATAAGGACGCTTGGTGAATTCTCTGGCAAGTTAAGGCTACTCGTAGACGGCGCAGCAGGAGTATTCGGTCTTTCCTGGCTGAATGTTTGGCTGGTGCATCCCCGGAAGTAGCCCCGCTCGGAACGGTAATGGACCCGTTGGCACACAAGGGCACGGATATCCTTATCTTTGGATTCTACCTGGGCTTTGAGCTGCTCTATTTCGTTCTTGCGGCCGCGGAATCGCCTTGAGGCATCACTGTTGGCTTTCTGCTTCTCGGCCAGGATTGAAGAGCCCGATTTTACATCGGCAAAGCACGGGATCATACCCGATTTGTTGCGTAATGCTGGCTTGCCTGGCTCTGTTGATCCCGGAGAGAAGCTCTGATAACCCACGCGGGGCCCTGCCGAGGTGATGGGTTCCGCGACTATGTTAGAGGTTGATTTGATTGCATCTGGCCGTATTGCTGGAGACAAGGGAGTATTAGACCCAGTATGAAAGACGCGGTCAAGTGGGCTATAGGGTTCATAGTGAATCGGAGGACTAGATCTTCTGGACACAGCTCCTGTTAAAAAGTCAGGGGCAGACATCGTGTGTCTCAAATGAGGCTTCTCCATTAGACTTTCAGATGCCGGCACTGACAGAATAGACTCATGGGGAACGGGTGGTTGGTGAGAGACAGCGGCCTTCTTGTCTCTCTCCTCAAGACAAACGCGCGGTGGAAACGACAGCTGTGCATGTTAAGGTAGCTCCCGAGGTGCTGAAGACGAGGCCATTGGTGCAAAGAACGGTGGGGATGATTGCTGGCTTTGGTCTTCTTGACTGTGGTTTCTGATCCGACCTGGTTGTGTCGGCGGGTTTAGTATCGAAGGCACGTCACATGGCCGTGAGGATGATGAGTTAGTTCGATGGCAATCCCAATGTGCCATACGGGTCCTGAGGTGCCGAAGACGAGGTCATTGGCGGAAAAACCGAGGAAGATGTTGGTTGGCTGGCTTTGATCTTCTTGACTATGGTTTCTGATCCGATCTGGTTGGGTCGGCGGGTTCAGCATCGAAGGCACGTCAAACGGCCATACAGATTCCAAACTCCTTTTCATTTCCACTGGGACATATGGGTCTGCTGGTGAAGAAAGAACCGTTGTGGGCGGTTGTTGAGATGGGCAGATGGATATCTGCGCGTAATCAATCCCTCCTTCTCGAGGTCTCAGGGTCCACGCCCAGCAAAAGGGGCATAGAATCTGCAAGATTACGAATCAACCTGTGATACCAATTGAGAAGAAACAAGCACCCTTAAGTATTACGCAGTGCTCGTATTGAGCCACATCGGTGGTGGTAGAGGCCTCACATAATGCACGGCATTTTTTGAAGCGGGCTAACTAGTTATGTTGGAAAAATACAGGCTATTTTACCACTAGACCACAACAAAAACCAAGGTTCCTGTTTATGGCCTAGGGGGGCCTTATTCCATTCTAACAAGTTAACTAGTCATGTTGTAGTTAGGGCATATCCACACGCAAGGCACCACTTTTCCACCCAGCCATCTCCCAAGATATAAGGACAAAAATGACTGTACAATATTGTAGCTGTAGCTTCAATGACTACCTATTAGACTCATATCACCCTGAACTGAATGCTTTGATACATGTACATTTCATGTTACAGTTTCCAATTTTTAAGCCCTGGAGATGTGAGACACTCAGCCACCCCCCACCCCAACCACTGCCAAGATTCCACAATTGAGCTATCCATTCTGATCTTAAACCCCATCTTCGTCTTCCCTAATTTGCCTAACCTACACAGAAGAGTAGTTCCCTATATAGAGTTATGGAGTATACTCCGTACTCAGCTCCCTTTTGATTGAGATATATCACAGGGTATATTGCCGAAGAATTACCGGGACCTGGCGTCCAAACCCACTTTCGGGTCCTCGGATAGATTTAGCGATTATGTACATTAGTCTTCCGTAGTTTGTACCAAATATGTACTACATAGTACCGCCGATCACTTGGAAAGTGGACTCCTATTGCGGAAGAAAATTTTTTAGGGTTTGTCATACGAGTGCAGGGGAAGCTGGCATGTCGGGGTATAAGAGTAGCCTTGCTGTAGCTCTATCGAAGTGGGCCGATTGGGATTTTGCATTGCAAATATAATCTCTATACGGAAACTGCCAAGATGTTCGGTCGATCTACCACGGCAGTGCTGACAATCGCGCTTCTCATTAATGGCGGCCAAACAAAACAGCCGATTCGACGCCCTTTCACACATTCCAGCCGTCATGCTCGTGAATCTGAACCGATTGATACATCAAATTATCGATTTCTAACCAACAAGACAAAATGTTTGCTTTATTCTAATCCATTTTTTCAATCTCGACTGACCAAAATGTAATATTTCCACAGCTCATGTGGTGGAGAGCCTACCGGATGTTCATTTCGAATTGGGAGAGATGTACTCGGGCTTTATGCCCATCCGTGGAAATGATTCCTTGTTTTATATATTCCAGCCCAAGATTGGGGAACCAAGCGACGACCTCACAATTTGGCTGAATGGTGGACCGGGATGTAGTTCAATGCAGGGGTTTCTGCAGGAGAACGGACGTTTTACCTGGCAACCCGGCACCTACGAACCAGTCATTAATGAGTATTCATGGGTTAATTTAACCAATATGTTATGGTAAGTCATTAGTGAAATAGTATCGATGTAATCGATAAGCTGACTGGGGCGTTTAGGGTCGACCAACCGGTTGGAGTTGGGTTCTCAAACGGTACGCCGACTGCTACCGGCGAGGAGGAGATCGCTGGGGACTTCGTCAACTTTTTCCAAGAGTTTCAAGAAGAATATGACATCAAGAACTTTCGAATCTTCCTAACTGGTGAAAGTTACGCGGGCCGGTACGTGCCCTACATATCCGCCGCCATGCTCGACAAGAACGATACAGAACACTTCAACCTCAGCGGTAAGATTTGAGAATTTCCCCGAAACTGCATTATATTGGTCGCACATTCTCATATATACTAGGAGCTCTGATGTATGATGCATGCATCGGCCAGTGGGATTATATCCAGGCTACACTCCCCGCTTACCCCTTCGTTCAACAACATGCCGATCTGTTCAACTTCAACCAATCGTTTATGGGGGAGTTGCAAGCTACCTACGAACAATGCGGTTACAAGGAATATTTCGAGGAGTATTTCACCTATCCGGCCTCTGGAGTCCAGCCCCCTAAATATATGGACTACTCCGAGTGCGACATCTACAACATGATCTATAACGAAGCTTTTACTCCGAACCCATGCTGGAATCCTTATAAGATCAGCCAAACATGTCCACTCTTATGGGATGTCCTGGGCTTCCCCACAGACCTTGCCTATGAACCAGGTCCGGCAACCTATTTCAACCGCACAGACGTCAAGAATGCTCTGCATGTCCCTACAGATATCGACTGGGAGCTCTGTAGTGTTGAGAGTGTTTTTGTGAGCCCCGACCCAGGACCTGAGCAACAATACGACGAGTCTGCGAATCCCACAGAGCACATCCTACCCCGGGTAATCGAGGCGACTAATCGGGTTTTGATCTCGAACGGAGATTGGGACTATCTGATTATCACGAACGGAACGTTGCTGGCGATCCAGAACATGACCTGGAATGGCGAGCTGGGCTTCCAGACTCGTCCTACCACCCCCATTAACATCGATATGCCCGACTTGCAATACGCTGCGGTCTTTGATGCCCAAGAAGGATATGGCGATTTGGATGGCCCACAGGGGATGATGGGTGTCCAACACTATGAACGTGGTCTGATGTTTGCCGAAACCTTCCAAGCGGGTCACCGACAGCCCCAGGACCAAGGCCGAGTGTCTTATCGTCATGTCCAGTGGCTGTTGGGTGATGATGATCATCTTTGATGCCCTTTCCGGCTCGTGATCTAGAGTGTAAACCAAGCTGCTGCGGCTTGCTGAAGTTACAGTACGAGGGTGGGTTGCTGAAAAGTTGGCAGATAGGCGGCCGAATCGGCGTCACTTACGGCCATTTTTGGCCGTCTTTCTGTCGTCATTTATTTTAAAGTATTATACATATATATATCCATGGATAAATTCTCTCCCAGTGCTTCTTATGATTAATAAAGGTATAAGATCCCTTTAAAGTCAAATAAGAGACTGCGGCCCTTGTATCGGATGAGCTCATTTCTTCAATATAGTAAAGGTACCTTCTCTCCATTCCCCCACCCCTCAACTCTCCTCTTTTATCCGCCTCTTCTCTTTCTCTCTTGCCTACTCCCTTATACCTCAAGTAGTCAAGTGGGAAGGAACCATTCTGGATTGTCCATTTAGCTACTGACTTACACCGCTGCCTCTCTAGTTTGAGCCAATCCTAGGGCTCCTGCCCGACAGGTCATTTTATAGCATCAACTATACCCTCGCCGCTTTCAGGGCGCTGGTAAAATTTGATATTCGTTAGTCCTACAGACACAAGAATATCCCACCACTGCTTCTCGGACCGTTCAAACGCAGCAACCTGGACCATCATCATAATGCTTTTTAGGGCGGTGATTTGCGAAGAGCTTGAGGTTAATGAGGAATACCAAGGTGATGGACGTAGCTTACGGCGGCGGTACACTGGATAACTGCAACTTTACATCTCAGCTATTTGCTCTCTTGGATAGCGATAGCTAAGACAATCCCAGCGAACATCTCCAAGTGCTTTGCATCTGATATCTCCCAGGGTCCAAATCGTTCCAGCATCAGGAAGTCCTTTAATGCAAGCTCCGTTGTTCTACCCGAAATGTAGTCAAGGTATTTCTCTCCGAATGTCCCGACGACCAGAAAGAGCTCGCTGGCCTCCTGGCTGATTAGAAATACAGGGGTCCCCGGGGTGAGGTTCTGGTTTCTTATGGTTGTGACTACTTCTGCTGATTGTTGCCATGTCACACGAATCGATTTTCCAAACCCATTGGACTTGTTTTTCTTGGCCTCTATCAGGGCCTTGACATTGTTGTTTCTTGGGTCCACAAGGGCTCCGTCCACTACGGCACGAAGGTCAGAGGCGCCAAATTTGGCTTTGAGATTTCTCCTTCGAGAAGACCAATCACACTTAACATGAGGGTGCCGGAGTGTAATGGCCTCTAAGAAGGCCAACAAGCTGGACACCACCAGCTCCTCGTCCACGTTGTTGGCTGCGATGACGAGCTGTTGCTTCCTCCTTGGTAGCTCCATGATGCCAAGGCCGTTGGCCGCCTGTGTGGAATCACCAATGTGCCAATCCATTGTGCGCTGAGCGTTATCAACATGGTCAAGGTATTGTTGAAAGGGGGGAAAGAGCTGAGCCATGCTCTGGCTCTTTGAAGTGGCCGGCGAAGGCCAAGTTGAGAGATTTTCGATTTTGGAATTTCTGTCGAATCTGTGTCGGGAGGAGCGGTTACACATGTAATACAGAGGGCTTGAAACTGGGCTTGATTCAGATGGGATGCCCCATGCCATTGCATGTGGAATGGGGAGGGTGCGTTGCTCGTTGATGCACTCATTTTTCCGAAACCGAGAAAAAAAAAACGAGTCGAAGAAATGGTAATCGAAGAAATAGTAAATGTAAAATGGCAGAGAAAAGAGACAGTGAATGAATGGTCACCGTAGTTTTAATCAGAGTAACTGCTTAGTTTGAGAAGGGGCGTTGAGTGAATCATATGTGGTCACCTCGATCTGTGTCAGGTTTCCTAATGCCAGCAATTTGGCTCTCTTGGATCTATAATCTCATCCCACATAACTTATCTTCAACTTTAACTAGGCGCTTTTCTCTTCGACGAGCTAACCAGCTAGGCCACCTACCCACGCGCAGATTGCACACTCATCGCGCGCTATACCCTACAATCCGCTAACGTTGCGGTTAGTACCTCCGCTCTAAATCCCCGAGGCGAATTCTGAGGGGCTACTTAAGAGAAACGTGGAATCGGGAAATTGAGATCAGAGCTATACTATGGTAGTATGATGAACTAATAACTCCTTCGTCTGAGAAGCAGCCTTTAAAGATAATTGCCAGGAGGGTCTACGTGGTGTACGTCGAATTGCATGGTGCAACGTGAGGTTGGATTGAGTTGTTGTTGAAGCTCAGTTACAAGGTTAACAAATCTGACTGTGATATATATGATTGTGGGCTATAACACCTAGCAAAGTAGGCAGTTATATTATTAGCTACTTGTTATAATCCTAGGGCAGCCACTTTATGTAAATTACCGTCGAGAGGTCAGGAGAAGAGAGGGCAATACTGTATACTGCGCTGCACGAAAATGAAGTCTGGGGGAAAGAAGAAGAGCGAGAGGAGCAACTAGCTAGGTACGTCCTGGCAAACAGGTTAGGTAAACGTACGTCATGCGATCCTTAAACTGAACCTTGGAAATCTGTTTGGCTTGTTGAAATTGACCATCCATATCACTCCTTCGTCCTATGTTGTTTCCTTGACCTCTAGTGCTATACATGCTAGTCAGTCCCTTCAGCGGAATCTTTTTGTTGGGATGATCCCATTTTCCGTTGTTTGCTTGCAGACTGAGGGCTTGTTTTTAAGGTTCAGAGTATAAATTCCCTGCTTTCCCATAGGTTGAATATCAAAATCTCTTCTGCTTTCTTCCCTCCGCAGCAGTCCTTCAAGACTTTTGGTATGCTTCTGTCATTGCACTCGCCTGTCCTTTGGGAAGCTTATGCATAAAGGCCGATAGTCGTACGTAGGTAGGTGCAGAGTTTGGAAACTGATTGTCTGGCTCAGGCTCAGGCTGGCTCTGTGGTGTTCTCGTAGGTTTAGTAACGATCATACTCGTACGTCGAGAATCATTGTTATATTATTGGACTATATCACGCAAAAGATGCTCTGTCATAATGACGATTTAACGGCTCCATAGCTTGATCAGAACTGTGCTCGTTGACACATCGAGTTGATAAATTGGCGTATGGTGGTGCGGTGGTTGATAAAACTGCGTGCTTGTGCACGAAAAAGCGCTCTTCCCGGTTTTAGATTTCAACGTATCTATATGCTTGAATCGCATAGAAAAAGAATCTATAGTAATATTCTGAGATTCATGGTGCGCGCACAACTAATAGGGGTTCCAAAGACGCTTTAATGAATTGCACGGGAAGGTCGTTTCTAAAAGCATTGCCCCCGAAGGTCTAGGTCTATACTCAATTCCTTTATTGCATGCAATGTCCCGATGAATATAATAGCAAAGGTCTTTTTTTCTATTTTTTCTTCTAAGCTTTATGCGATTGTCTTTTTTTCTTCTGTCTTGCTAGAGACTGTTGGGGGTTTCTTTAGAGGTTCCTCCGGCGTACGTGGTGAGCATTCACTCACACCAAAAAAGAGGTCCCAAGGAGCGTCCTTCCGTTTCAAAAAGCTGTAATTTGGCGTAAATTTCAAGGTGAGCTTTTGCTGAGGCAGATCGAAAACTGCTTCGATCACGCGTACTAGACGAAATCTATATCCCGAGATATATAGGATCTGCTCAGGGATAAGCCATGGCTAGTAACCGCTATTGGGTTTCTCTTAAACTCACCGGAAACACTGATTCATTTTCATAACCTGGTTGGTATACACGATTATAAAGCACTGACAGAATAGCTCTCATTTCTGAGCCCAAAAATGCATTTTCTGGAGCGTCGCAGTTGTGGGAGACACTCATTTTCACATGGGGAGGAGGAATGTAGGTCGCCTTTTCGGATTCTGGACCCTCCCATTCCTTCAGAGTCTGGATGTACGAGTACTCTTCGCCTTCGACTCCACGACCATACAACCCATCCATCACACCGAAGAACGGGCTTGGGGTTCTATGAAATAATCTTAGTATATTATATTGACTCTTTGCTCCCGTATGTGATGACATTATATAGCGAATTATCAGGGGACAGAGACATACCCAAGTGAAGCCCACGGGCCGCGTTCACTAGCGAAAGTGCGGAACCTTGGAGGGTTTTTAGAAAAAAGCCTGTGCTGAATCTTTCCTTCCAGTATACCCAGAATACCCATGTATGAGTGAGATGCCGCCTCCTCTGAGTTTGGATCCCGAATATCCCAGGCACCCACCTTTATCTTAGGACGGAAGGTAGCATGTGGTCGAAAGTGACCCTCGTCTGACAAGAGTGATTCTACATTCGGAAGGGCAATTGCTGTCACCCCTCGACGGGCGAGGACCTGCACAGAGAAAATTTGCTTTTCTTGACGTTGAAAAAAGCCAATGAGGTTGTGTAGCTGAGGACTGCGCTCTCGTTTTAGTTTCACTAGCTCTGTCGCAGTTGGATCGTCCAGTGTCGCACGGGATGCAGATGTGAACACAATATTCTTAGCCGGCATGGTGAGTGCAGTATTCGTGAAGTATCATAGAGGAAGTTGTCGGTTCGACAAGTAAATGGTCGTCTGTTTAATATATGCCAACTATGGTGATAATGATGACGTGTTGATATCAAAAATCTTTGAAGCTCTAGCGTATAGGTGTAATAACATGACAATGTTTTCTTCTGTTGGTCATAAGCTAAATTGTTAAATCGAAGCCTATCAACCTCGGAAATAATATGGATTACTAATTGCCATAGGAACCGAAGCACAGAAAAAGTATCAATATGAATGGATCAATACTAAGAGGAGAGGCGGAGGGGAGAAGACGGAGAAGAGAGAAGCTCTCTTTTCTCTCTTCCTTGTAAACAATTGATAGAAATATATAGTACGACAATACATGGTATGGAATAGTGTACGAAGACGTTCAGCTATCAGGGTTCAATATCGAATACCATAGTGACACACATGGTAGAAATATACGGTATTAAAACCCGCCATAATGGCGTGTAGCAACACTAAGGTAAGCATAAGACTTGGTTGGCTAAAGGAGGTACTTAAGAGGGTCCACGGATGGGTGAGAAGTTTATTATTCGTGCCCTCATGCTCGTACTAGCCCTGGGTTAAACGTGGGAAAACATCGTCAGGAGGGGGAGGGGGAGGGGCAAATAGGCCCTCTAACGTATTATTTTTTTCCCTTCAAGGTACAGTTGATACCCATTTGTACCTGAGAATCAATTATTACCCTCTCAACGCCCAATATCATGGCTTCCCCATCTGTCTCCGCAATTCTGGATGGCATTGCCACTTCACGCGGTATTCGACAAGAACGCAGCTGGCTCAAGAGAAGCTCTGATTGACCAAAGCTGTGTGATGATTGCAGTATTGGAAATCCCAAGCGAGTTGGTCCAGCGTACCTTCTGGGCAGAGGTGAGAAATTACGACATTGTTGAAAGATTATTGTGCTGATAATGCTAATTGGGATTTTACGACAGCCAGCTCAAAGCGCCATTATCCGTATCGCTGTCGATGTCAAGTTTTTCCAACACCTCAAGGATGCAGGAGATGCAGGACTCACCCTGTCAGCCTTTTCCCAGAGGACTGGAGACGACAGTACTCTCCTACAACTCCTAACGAGACATCTGGTGGCAATGAACCTCGTGTCATTCCACAACGGAGCGTTCTACGCCACGAAACTAACCAACGGTCTCGCAGCGGAGAACTATCAACACAGCATCAATTTCTGTTATGATGTGGCGCGCTCTTCATTTAACGGATTCCCGGAATATTTTAAGAAGTCCGAATATAATTACCCGACTCTGGGTGGAACTGATGGCCCGTTTCAGGAAGCCCACAAAACAACCCTCCCGTTCTTTGAATGGCTTGTCGCGACACCACCACACCTCCAGAATTTCGACTCTTTCATGAGCGCGTAACACGCGGGTAAACCAAACTGGCACGGTTTCTACCCCGTGGCTGAGCGATTAACCACGGGTTTCGATTAGCGATGTTCTGCTCATTGACGTTGGTGGTGGAAAGGGTCACGATGTGGCTATCTTTGCTTCAGGGTCGAGAGCCTGTCATCGCAGACGTGGTAGCTGATAGCACAGAGCGAGCTTTTGAAGTGCAAGCTCATGATTTCTTTACACCCCAGCCTATCAAGGGTGCACACGCATACTCTCTCCATTCTATTCTCCACGATTGGAGCGATGAAGATGGCGTCAAGATCCTGGAGAATCTTGTACCTGCTTTAAAAAAGGACTACTCACGACTCCTGTTCAATGAGATTGTGATTAACGAAGAGAAACCTACACTTGCAGCGACCAATATGGACCTGATAATGTTGGCGCACTTTGCTGTGAGAGAAAGAACTGAAACTGATTGGAGAGACATTCTGGCCCAGGCTGGATTGAAGGTGGTCAATGGATAGGTGTTGCGGAGAGTTGGATTGAGGCAGAGCTGGCCTGAGGGCGGGTTTGTATGACCTTTGGGTTAAATATTTTTGCGCCATATAGACTAATATTATGACAATATGTTAAGGACAAACCAAAGATCCCTAGTTATATATGGAGTAGAAAGAAAATATGTACAGACCCCACACTCAGCATCGACCAACCTTGGAACCATGGAACGCATGGCCATTTTAGGTGATATTGATACACGTGATCTCGCGTTTCCCGTCAACCAAGACTTTTGTCGACTTCAACTTCAACACGGAGCACCATGGAGCTTCGAGATGACGGGCTCCTTGTCAATACCAATGCAAGACCCATCGCTAAAACGGAAACGAAGCCATGAGGGCCATCGCAGCCTCGAGTCCAATGTACCTCTACCCTTGAACGCGTCGCCCCAAGACCCTGCCAATCCTCCCCCCAATGAACCCGATGTACAGATAGGCGGATCTATCAAAACCATAGCCGCCAAAAAAACGAGCAAAGGGAAGAAAGTTACCTCGAAGCCACCGAAGCCCGCAAAACGAACTCCATCTGCGCCTTTGCCAGATGCCTTTAAGCGCCTCTCGCAAACCCATCGCGCCTTAAATCTCGTTTATACGTTTTGCTGCACGCGAAAACACTTTGCCACCACGTTTGATAACATAAAAAAGGCAGTACAAGCTCAACTTGGTCAAGGGCGAGAGCTCACTGTTGAGGATGTGGCACGGGTGAAAGTCATAGTCCCCGGAGCGGTCCGGTTTGAATATGTGGACGAGGCCAAGTTGGAAGTAATGACTGTTGGAGATGAAGAGATAGCTCAGTATGGGTTACACAAGCCATCTAGTCTGGTCTCTGCGGCAGACATGGGCACAGTCGAAGAAGCCAGAAGTGGCGATCTTCATGATGCAGACGACACAAAGCAAGTTCTGCTATTTGAGTTTATGGACGGCGATCTGAAGCGGGAAGTACTGAACCCGAAGACTGGGGAACCCATCAAACCTATGCGGCGCATGAAAGATGACGATCTGAAAATGCCCGTCTACAGCCAAAAGCAAATGCTGGGTTTGATTGAAAAACGAAATGCTAAGTTCTCAGACGCCATGAATGCGTTTTTGGTCCAATGTGAAGACAAAAATCTTGATCCAGTGGATTCTCTTGAACAAGAGAAGAATGATTTCCTGCCCACCCCTCCAAGGAGCGGCACAAATACCCCGCTTGCGGCAAAACCGCCAGCAACAATCCCTAAGGAGCGAAAGTCCATTGGGGAAATCATTGCAGAGATTCGGCAGATGGATTTGTATCATGCACAGATTGTGCCGGAAGGCCATCGAGTATTCGATGCCCAGTCTCCTGTCTACGGAGAATTGACATTCCAACTCTCGCAGGACCTTGTCAATGCTCTGTATAACACAAAAGGAATCACTCAAATGTACGCTCATCAAACAGAGGCAATCAACCATCTTTATGAGGGCCATAATGTGATTGTATCGACGTCGACGAGCTCAGGAAAATCCCTTATCTATCAAGTTCCTATGCTGCACGAACTAGAAAAGGATCCAGAGAGTAGGGGAATGTATATATTCCCCACTAAGGCTCTGGCACAAGATCAGCGCCGCAGCATGATGGATCTACTCCAATATATGAATGGGCTGCAACATACAATGGTCGAAACTTTCGACGGGGACACGCCAATGGGGACCAGGAACTTGATTCGTGACGAGGCACGGATCATCTTCACCAATCCCGACATGCTTCATATTACAATTCTGCCACAGGAGAGTTCTTGGCGGACTTTTTTGAAGAACCTGAAGTTCGTCGTTGTCGACGAGCTGCACGTCTACAACGGCCTGTTTGGGTCGCATGTCGCTTTTATCATGCGCCGTCTTAGCAGAATCTGTGCTGCGGTGGGTAATCAGCATGTCAAATTCATATCTTGCTCTGCTACTGTTGCAAATCCAGAGGATCATATGAAGTCTGTCTTTGGGGTGCAGGATGTGAAACTCGTCGATTTCGATGGATCTCCCTCAGGCAGTAAGGAGTTTGTTTGCTGGAATACGCCATTCAAAGACCCGAAAGATCCCACCTCTGGACGCGCTGATATTGTCACTGAGACTGCGAGGCTGTTTTGCCAGCTGGTCCTCAGGGGCGTGAGAGTCATTGCGTTCTGCCGAATCAGAAAGCTATGTGAGGTTCTCTTGCAAGGCGTGCGCGCCGAGTTTGATAGACTCGAACGAACAGAGATTGGCAACCTAGTGATGGGATATCGAGGCGGGTATAGCCCTCAAGATCGACGTCAAATCGAAAAGGAAATGTTCGAGGGAAAATTGATGGGAATTGTCGCTACCAACGCTCTGGAACTGGGCGTTGATATTGGCTCCTTGGATGCAGTCATTACCATGGGATTCCCCTACTCGATTTCTAATCTACGCCAACAAAGCGGCCGCGCTGGACGACGTAACAAAGACTCCCTCTCCATCCTAGTTGGGGACAGATACCCAACCGATCAACACTACATGCAGAATCCAGATGAAATATTCACACGGCCAAATTGCGAGCTACAGATCGACCTATCCAACGAGCTCATCCTCGAAGGCCATGTCCAATGCGCTGCATTTGAGATGCCTATCCGCCCCGAAGAAGACAGCATCTACTTCGGAAAACAGCTCCTCGCCCTGGCCCCAACCCGCCTCACCAAAGATTCACTCGGCTTCTATCATTGCCACCCACGCTTTCGCCCGCATCCCTCCCGCAGCGTTTCAATCCGCGACACAGAGGACCAACACTTCGCAGTCATAGACATAACCAACAACCGCAACATAGTCCTCGAAGAAGTCGAAGCCTCGCGCGCCTTCTTCACAATTTACGAAGGCGGAATCTTCCTCCACCAAGGCACAACCTACCTCGTCAAAGAACTAAACACGGAATCATTTCTAGCACGGGTCATCCGCGTCCACGTCGACTGGAACACCATGCAGCGCGACTTCACCGACATCGACCCCATCGAAACCGAAGCAATGCGACTAGTCAGCAACGACCCCTCCGCCTCGCGCGCCTTCTTCGGTGCAATCCAAATCCACGCCGTAGTCTACGGCTTTTTCAAAATCGACAAACGCGGCCGCGTCCTCGACGCCGTCGCCGTTGATAACCCGCCAATCGACCGCCTTACAAGGGGCATGTGGCTCGATGTTCCAACGCGCGCTATCGACATCCTGCAATCGCATCGGCTAAACGTAGCCGCGGCCATTCACGCTGCCGAACACGCCGTTCTCTCCCTCCTGCCCTCCTTCGTTGTTTCCTCTCCCGGTGACGTCCGTACGGAATGCAAAGTCGCAAAGAAAGAGCTCGGCCGGCCGCTGCGTCGTGCAAACGTACCCAGTGAGTTCGAGGAGAAGCTTAAACCGCCTTCGCGGCAGAGACCTGCTCGACTTACCTTCTATGATGCCAAGGGTGGGTCCTGTGGTTCTGGGGTTGCTAGTAAGGCGTTTGAGTTTATTGGGTTGCTTCTTCGGCGGGCGGTTGCGCGCATCGAGGCTTGTTCTTGTCTTTCGCCGCAGGGCTGTGTGGAGTGTGTTTGTGATGAAAGATGTAAGGAGATGAATGTTGTTATGAGTAAAGCTGGCGCTGGGGTTATACTGCGGTGTTTGCTTGGGTGGGAGGTTGATGTCGATGCATTGCCGTGGGGGGAGGATGTTGAGGGGGATGAACTTGGAGTTGGGGGTGCTGGGGAGCTGGCTGGTGGATTGGAGACTGTTGTGAGGGCCGAGGAGGTGCCGTGGAAGGCTGGGTGTCGGGTTGATTGTTGAGAGATACTATATGTAGTATGGATCTTTGTCAAATTGTATATAACTAATTTCTGGCTAGTTCCAAATCACATACAGATATAGACTCGATATAGGAGAAAGTATTGGTTTGACGTTGCTTTGGAGCAAAAAGGAAAGTAAGAGGGATTGTATATATGTAGGATGTAAGAGATGTTAGCGTGGATATATGGACCCAAAGGTGGTACGTAAATATTCAAATTGAAAGAAATATAAGAAGTCACCACCTGGATTGACCGGTGATCAAAACGGCACGCCGGGTCCACGCAATACGGAAGGCAAGCTAACACCAAGGAAAGCGGTTTGAGGGATAAGAAATACTCAGCAAATTATCAAACCGCTAGGCAAAGGTGTCCACCGTACCTTGGGGGGCTGGACAAGCAACGATCTATAGCGCCCGCAGAACCTCGGTTACATGGTCACGCCGGTGCTGAGCTTCGCACCTCGGAACAGATTTTGGATGACTCGATCACATTTGTAGCATTTGAGTGATTCGGGGCTTGGCGTTCCACTCATATAAGAAAAGAGAAAACACCATTGGAAATATGGAGGTGTAAATGAGGTATGATGGACGGGTACCAGTCAATGATCCTATAGGAAGTCGGGTATAATAAATGTACATTAAGTCATGACCGAGAAAGACGTTTTCGGGGTTCAGGGGGAAAGGAGGTAATAGTATGACAGGGTAGAAAGGGCGAAGGAGGAAAGGAGGATGCGTATATGTGATAATGATGTGGAGAGATTGGATGAACATTATATGCAAGGACAATTCACGAGGAGGTGAAGAGAAGGCGTGAGAAGACGGAAAGGGTAGAGAAAAAAAGGGGAAGGTGTGAATCGATGTCCAATGGAAATTTTGTTTAACTGGGATATGGTATTTGTGTCGTCCAGTTGCAGGATATGAGTGTAATTAGCTGCTTGGGTGTTGCCAAAGTAGGGAGTGAGATTCCAAGAATGAAGCGGAGACAGTACTTGTGGATCATGGGAACTCGGGGACTGGATGGATAATGCGAAGGCTAAAAACCCCCCATTCACTGAAGACCACTATGAAGGGCTCTTGTCGTCGTCGGTTTCATCCAGATTCAACTTCCCGAACATATACTTCATATCACGAACAGTCTCGCGCTTCTCATCGCGTGTTTGTGATGAACGTTCGTCGGTCAAGGAACGAATCTCGCGGACAATGCCGGTATACCCTTCATCGTTAGGAAGCCACCAATGGTTAACCTCTGGAACTTGCCAGATGGTAGCAAGCCCGGTGCGGAAACTAGGGGTGATGATGTACCTATTCGCATAGATAGCTTCTGGTTAGCTTTTCTCTTGTTTATTTGAATCTGAAACGCAGATACACCGGTGGAATCTTACCCATGTTGCTCTAACAACACTAACTTGCGCCGAGCCCACATTTGATACTTATGCTCCCTGGGAAGGAACATGCCCAACATGCCAATGCTGTTTTTGAAATTGATGCAATATCCATTTTCCTTGTAGGGCCAGCGAATCATCGTCTCCATCAGGCGGCACTGCTCCTTCGCCAATTCGTGCAAGTCTTGAAGCAAAGGCTGCTGCAGTGATTGCATGGTCTGGAACTTGTACATTGTCTCGGTGGCGAGAACGTCGATCCAAGCATAATTAATATCCCACAAGGGACCTCGATGCAAGACACCTGGGACATATGGATCGACAACGTCATCTTCGGTCAAGGGCTGCTTCTGTGGGTAGTGTTGTACTTTGTATTCGTAATCATCGAATGTCCTGAGAATCGTCTTGACCTGCTCGAGCCATTCGCCCAGTTGTTCGTTCTGAATGGCGAATTGGTCCATTGATATCATGCCGCGAGATAACTTCGCATAAAGGGAAGCCATGTCCAAGCCAAAGCGTCGGTTGATTGATGCCACAAGGGCGAGTTGTTTGGATGGATCATCCGGATATATAGCGGCCTGCTCGGCATCATACTGCTCCTTTGCAAGATACCAGTCTCGACCGAGGACTGTTTCGGTACCGGCCAAAATCCCCACGACTACATCGAAGCGCGAGTACCATAAGAAGATATTGGTATGTAACTCGTTCACGTTGGCGGACTCTGGTGTGATCAACTCTAGCATAAATGCATGTGCTGCTTGGTGGTGGTCGATCAAGTTCATCCAATCGCCAATGTATTCCTATCAGTGCACCAAAGTCAGGAAAAGGTCGGTGCAGTAGTCATTGGGGGAAATAGCAAAATACCTCGAATGTTGTCAGTGTAAGAACAGTACACAGTGTAGCTTCACTGTGCTCCTCTCCAGAACCCAATGATTTCCGGAGGAGAATCAAGGCTTTATTATAGTATTTCAAAAATGTGTAGAGCTTTCCCCCAGGGCTGTGTAGAGAATGATGGTAGGCCGAAAAGGCCACTAGGGTGTAGAGGAGAGGCTCATACTGCAAGGCAAGTTCAATAAGGCTGTGGTGGACGAAATGAGAGGAACGCTGTCTCAAGAAGAAATGTGGAGGAGTCATAAAATCCTGATGGAAATTTAAATAAAATCGCAGATCGTCCGGTAGACGCGCATTGTTGAGCAATTCTGTTGTGGAATGTCCCAGGCTGCCTGAGCGCACGCTCATCGACTCAAAGCGCGGTGACTCAGTTGATGGCGAACCACTCTGTTCTTTGGTGTAAGAACCAGCGTCGGACATGGGCCATTCACTATGTTTCTCAAGAGATTGTGCGCTTTGACTCTTACGCAGGTCCGGTTGTGATGTGGTTGTGGCGCTTGCTGGGGACGGTCGGGATTCGGATACAACACTGTCGGGTTCCTCTTCGTCGATGATGGGTTGCAAGGGGCTGAGAGTCTCGGGTTCTATCTTTGTGGATGAATCGCTGCCACGCGACTGCGGGTGACCAGCGCGCGACTTGGCTTTAGTTCGTGAGCTAGCCTTGGAGGATGCGGTGGGTGAAGGATAGACACAATCGCGGCTCCCTTTCCTACACCGTTCACAGAGTGGACGGTTCTCATCGCACTTAATCCGGCGCGAACGGCAGGTAAAGCAGCCGCTCCGGGTGCGCTTATGCTTCTTCTGGTCCGAGAGAGGTTGAAAGAGGGCTTGTTTCTGGGAGGTTGTATATGAAGGGGGCACTATGATTGTCTGTGCCGCAGAGGGATCGTGCCAGAATGCAACACTCTCAGGATACTGTGTCGGTCCGAACAAGGAATACGAAGGTGAGCTTGAATCCTGTTTCATTGAGTCCAGAAAGCCGGACATGGCCGTCTGGGGTGACTGATGTGAATGCGTCATTGTCACGATAGGGCAAAAAGCCATCCAAACTCCCCTTGATTCCCTTTCCTTGATCTCTCTAATTCCATCCAAGTCAACAATATCGAGTCATCTTGATATCAAAGAGAGCTAGAAGAGAACAGGTGAAGTTGGTGGGGGGTTGGATGTACAAGCTGACCCAAACCGATGGAACCGGGGACGTGCGGAGATTAAAGGAAGGGGAAAAGATGGATTGGGCTACGGAGTATAAAACTGACCATTTCGAACGGATTGGACAATTTAAACCGAATTAAACCGAATTCGCTGGTTTCCTTCGGTTTAATATTTTCTAGAAACAATTCTATTTTAGTGCCCAGCCTCGCAGAATAGGAGCTAAGACGTGATATACAACTCGTATCCAATACGATATGTAAGTACAACGCTGTATTCTGGACTCCAACGAGTTGAACATGGAAATATGGAATATGAAAATATGTGGGTATACCATGGGTTGATCCAGGAGAGCTCCATTCCGGCAAATTATCTCTTCGGAGCCATATATGGGCCCTGGTATATAGTACTCCGTACCTAGGCATGGCCCTTCAAGGCTATATACAGAATAGACTGACTGTCAGTGTCTTTTTAATAGTCTAAGTACTCTACTCCGGTAGTTCCCCCTGGATCCAGGCTAGGAATCCAAGTTACATTTACGGAGTACTTCTATATACAACCTACTTGGTACTTTGTCCATCGTTGCTACCCTAGCCCCCTTAGTCAAAGGAGAATACAAAATACAACATAGATCCCCACGGACGAAACTCGGGTCTCGGCGTATCAGAAAATAGACAGAAAAAAAAAGAAGAAAAAGGCAAAAAGGGGGGGGGGGGGGGGGTGATAACGACGATCCCAGGCCACGGGGATAAATCGAAGCTATTATTCTGGTCTTAGGGCTTGGCCAGGTCTACTATGCAGAGGATCACGATAGTTGTCCTACGGGTCTGTTCCGGTTCCCCCGAACCATTTTCGGTTTATGGTAGGGGAAATGAGCGAGTCATACTGGAATATTTGGCCCTTTATTTTCTCTTTGCTTTTTTTTTTTTTTTTTTTTTTTTTGGCTCTGCTCGAAGATAGGAGAGGAGGCGGAACCCCGGGAATTATCCTCTAATATCTTGTCTTTCTTTGCCTTTCGTCTTTTTTTCCTGTCATATATTGACGGATAGTGGATCCGAAGAAAAACTAACAAGGGTCCTGAAGTAACTCCCCGATTATCCGTTAAGCTCCGGTAAGGTCGGCACAATATCGGTCATCTCTCATTTATACTCCGTATATTGTACATAAAAAGCTCGAATGGCGAGTCCCGCAATTAGAAAAAAAACCTAAACCCGGCAAATGTGAAACATTGGAACGCTCGTAGATAAAAAGAAATGCCGAAAACGTTCTGATGGAGATCGGTCCTAAGTGGAGGCGGCTAGGGTAGACAATAGTCTGCACTACAACTCCGTAAATGTGGGGATATCTTTTTATCTTTTTTGTCTTTTTCGTCTTTCTCTTTTTTAACCGGTTCTGGTAAAAGTATCGCCATCATAGAGGGCCATAAACTGTTGTTGCCCCCTCTCCCGCCCCTCTGACATCCCGATTCGAGGGTGTTGGGGAGTTTTTAATCGGCACTGCACCTGATCGACGATGGGTTGACAGAGAAGGTGAGCCTGGTAGATATAAAAAAAAAAAAAAGACACTAACGCTCTTCGAAGCCTTGGACCGACTCCAGTAAGTGTCGGCTCGAATATCTCAATTCAGCTGGAAGCTCCGTCCACGCTACATGATCTTTAGTTCGGCAATATTAGTTCAAAGACCGCAATGTAGGGTACGTGGAAGGAGGCGTTGGGAATATATAGAGATACATGATATAGATTGCCCCACCAAACGACCGAAATTCATACTCAGATGATAATCTCGAAGGATATTTCAAGGTCCCAAAGCTCTGGCCAGATTTATCCCATAATAAATATCTCGGCCGTGCACGAGCATTTCATCTCCATGTGGGTGAGATATATCCCGAGCTAAGACAACGCTAGGGGGACCCATGTGAATGCCGGCCCTGAGGCTCAGGTGATTTTCTACCTTTTTCAAGGGGTTTTTTTTCTCGCTCGCAACTTCCCTACAAGAAGCATGAAGTATTGTACATCATGCATTAAGCTGATCTAAGTAACATCCCTGTGAAATTGTTATAGATCCGTAGATGACAGAAGTTAATATCCCCACTAACCCATTTGCCACTATGCCCGATTTGGTATCATTTTGAGAGCGAGAGGGTTCCAAGGTGACACTGACTGTTAGTTACTGTGGTCAACAGGCAGCAAAGAGTGGTTCTCTGGTGGACTCATTGAAGATCATATGGCATTGTGATGTGCAAGGTGCGTGCGCTGAACTTGAAACTGGAGCTTTATACTCGAATGATCAACGTTTTCTGCCTTGTTTAATCTAATTGGTTCTTTTAGTCAAATTAAACAAAGCATAATAAAGTTTTAATAGATTATCGGTTTATAATATGCTCCACGAAGAAAAATGTGTTTCCTAATCTGGTGGAAACGTGCAAAAATATCTCGGCCCGGAAGTTGTTTACAAGCCCTCTATTGGCTACCATGGCAGGTTAAAAAAATACAAACTGCAGAGTACTCCGTACTCATATGGCATTATCGTATTTTTTTAAATCATGGTCCTAGATCTAGATTGTACACTGACCTAGTAGGTGGATATAAAGTGGCTGAAGTGAGAATGCACAACTTTATACTTCGTACAGATCCAAAATCCCATCGGCAATCGGAGCTCTCGGCAATCGGAGCTTATTACTCCGATTGTCAGTGTAAAATAGTATCAAGTAGTGATCATCCTATAACCTTAGAATAGTGTTGCATTGTACGAATACGCTATACGTTGTGCAGATAAGGGTTCAGTTATTATAGTCTATGAAACTATCACAGCTTTCAAACTTCACGGACAGACCCCAGTCCGCGCCCAAAACGGATATGTTACTCGCTGATCTCAATCGACCACCATCTAATTGAGTTGACGCCGGTGAATTCGGGGGCCAAAAGCAACCCACATAATCCACCATTAAGTCCAACATCCGACTAAAAGGGGAATGGTGGAGTTATCGGAGAACCAAGACGTTGGGAATTGGCCACGATCATGGTCCAACGGCCAGTTTAGCGTTGCAACGCTTCTGATTGCCCACCTTTTCGTCTGGGTTGTAGTGCATAGGTTACGCCTTTCCTCTTTTGCTATGATTTCTCCTCTTTTGACTCTCTAGATTCGCGTGTGAGCCGTGGTTTGCGATTCGTCCTATATTATAGACAAGGGGAGGTCATACATGTACAGGATGTGTCGTGTGCCGCCGAATGAGTTCCAGGGACGCGCACGTGGAGATGCGGCCAGAGTGTGCGGTTCACAGGCCTGACTTTGCCTAGACTAGGTCAGCCAAGCAACTTCCTAAGTATAGTGGTTTCCATATTAGAGCGCTAATATGCAGCCGAATCCACTGTGGCCTGGCATGTGATGAGAATTTGACCGGTGGAATGGTTGCGATTTCTAAGTTTCACATCCCTGTTGATTATCAAGGGGCTTTGCTTGCTAGGGCAATTGGTTTATGATCTTCCATTTCTCATTTTACTATAGTAATTTCGTACTATGAGACAGACATGATTGCCCACATAGGTAAAAAGCATGTCTGAATGTTGGATCGGCAGTGTCAGCACGTTCTTGGCTTCTCTCAGCGCTTTTCTCAGCAGTTGGTGGCAGGAATCTTAGTTGGTCTCAATCCACGCCGGCCTCTGATCTCCAATCTGGCGCTCCGGAACACGTGAAACATACACCAGCATGCAATATGGTCATGTCTTTTTGTTTTCTGCAATCACACAGGATATACGGAGTATATACTAGTCATAAATCGTCAACAGCCCCGACGATGGCACCATTCGGGATTTGTAGTCCTAGGTCGATCATTGGTCAAACAAAACGCAGATCGAGATGTGCAGTGTCCCTTCGTCCACTATGTGGAGTAATGTCATCCAGGACAGATGGGTATTCATGCACTCGATGCTTTCTGTTTCTGGGCAATCAATTCCCTGACCACTTTATCCACTCCCTCAACGACGATTGCCCACTCGGTTTCATGGACCCGAGTTTCAAAGGTCTCGAGGTTCTCGTCCTGGCCCTTCCGGAAAGGGATCTCTCGCACCAGAATTGGTGTGCCCATATCCACCTCGGAAATGACATCGTGCATCATAACACCGGTCTTGTCAATCTGGCCGTCCAACCAAGCAGCATGAGCACGGTCAATCGCATTCTAAGGATCAGAAAAAGATAAATATTAGCATATCATCCTATCTAACGGGGCACAATACTAAAAACAGTGCTATATGACTTACAACGCCATTGAACGCCCCCGGAAGTGCGGGGTGCAAGTTGATAATCCTCGTCTTAGCAGCCTCAAGAGGCTCCAAGAACTGTGGTGAGAGAATGTGCATGAAGCCGAGACACACGACTAGCTCCGGCGCGTCGGCGAGGATCAGTCTCGCGAGCTCAGCATCGTATTCCTCACGCGCAAGCTGGACACCTTCCGGTGTTGCGGGGTGCTGTTTCTTGTACTTTACAAGGTTGTGGTATTCGGTTGGGATGTTGGCCTTGCTTGCGCGCTCGAGGCCGAATGCAGTCTTGCGGTTGGAGATTACGCGGACGATTGTTGCGCTTATTTGACCTGCAGCTACTTTATCAATCACAGCTTGCAGGTTTGAGCCATTGCCAGATATGAGGACTGTGACGCGAATTGGGGAGGTCATGGTGGATTGTATGGCGGGGTGAAATTGCAGACTTCGGAGTTTGAAAGGGTGAACAGCACGATTGAAACCTTTTTCGGTTGCGATAAGGTCAATTGAGTACTGTCGTTGATAGTGAGACTGCAGATTCTAACTCTCAAAGCTTAGAGAATAAACGAAATAGCACAAGATCGCTGGCGCAAGCCAGCCCCGCGGACAAGGAGTTGG